GCCAGCAACGAGGTGGGTGACCGTGAGCACCCCAGCAGCTCGGTGTCTGGCTGCGGTTCCAGTTCTATCTCTAGCTCTGATTCCAGTAGTTCGTCTAGCAGTAGCACCAGTGGCAGCAGCAGCGCAGAAAGCAAGACAGTACATCCTTCGGGTGAAGCGGAATCAGTGGAGGAGGCATCGAAGTCGCTGCCGGGCTCCGTGCCTTCAGGGGAGCCAACCCAAAGCTCTGGACAGCTTCCGGCTGCAATAGAACTGGCAGACAACGTGCAACCCACGGCCGATGCAGATTTAGATGCGGATACTGATGTTGAAGATGTCCATCCGGATTCTTGGTTTTGCGCATGGCATGGCCTGTGACTTTGCTAGTTTGAAGTGTTGTGCAGGCCCTAATGGCCCTAAATTCGATCCTGTAGTCGACTAACAGCTACACTTGACACTAGCCGGCAAGGAACCAATGGTCCCTGCAGCTAGTGATGCAGTGCTCCCGTGGGATGACATGCGGAATGCTTGCTACGCAGCGCGGGAGGCTGCCAAAGCAAACTGGCCCCCGGGGCCAGACAAGTACGAGGATTTGTTTTCATGGGCTGAGATCAATGCCGGTATTTTGCTTCATGAATGTCCAGAAGCAGATGCTAATTGCCACAACCTGCGTGGCTTGATTCAGCACGGCATCGTCCATCACGATGCTTACTCCGGTTTGGGCACGGCTTCAATCTCCTTGAAGCAGCAATTGTGTGCAATGCGCCGTTGGTTGCATGGACAGAAAGGCAGGCATGCTGATGCTGTGTGGCGGTGCGCAGTGCTCACGGTACTTGCTAAACGTTTGTAGACATGTAACGTGCACACCCGGACAGAGGCCTGGTTCCTCCTGCGGAGCAGCTGTACGAATGTGCCTCGTGTTGCGACCACGCGAAGGATTCGCAACAGGTTCTTACTGGACTTTGCAAGGACATCTCGGCATTTCTAGCGTTGAAACGAGCTCAAGGTGCCACAAGTGTGTAAGGGAAAAGTTGAAATGTGCTGTGGACCTGCTGTCGAGCGTTTAAAAGCAAGAGTAAGAGTAAGAGTTCTTGCTTGTGGCAGCTGGCAGGGACGGGGAGGATAGATTCATCAGACAAAGCTGACTAAGCCGACCGTGCGCGCTAGCGGCCAACGCTTCGTTTCTTCTTCGCGTGCAGGATCACAAGCCGACCCATGTCCACATCAGTCTCGAAGATCGGGTGACGGCGTCAGCGCTTGAGAAGATGAAGTCCATCCGCGAAGACGTCGAGTTCCAACTGTCCCTTGCAATGAGTGACCTGCCTTCCCATTGAGTGTGTTGAACAGTGCGTGTGTTGCTGCTGCCCCCTTCCCGTCGCCCCTGACGATGCAGGCGAGATGGATATCGATGAGGACAGCAACGTGACAGGGAAGAAATTGCGATCAAGGTTCGGCGAGATCCTGTTTGATCGTCTCATGGAATATCTAACATCCGACAAGTCGATCTGGAAGGAAAAGGCTACCTGCCTGCGAGAACACGTGAGGCCACTGCCAGGACAAAAGAAACAGAAGAAACAAGAGTGTTTGACACCCATGGGTACGGTTCAAGACGCCCGGCTTCGTGTGGCTTCAGCCGGCACTACGTGTACTGATGTCAGCGCAATGGGCCAGATGGCTGGACTGATGGGTCCGTCCACAGAGCCACTGGCCCTGTGGATGGCAGAGCGTGTCCTTCTTCAGGAGGACACTTTGTCATGTCGTCACGCGGATTTCCAAGTTCTCTTCGCACGCCGTAGCGCCGTAGGTGGTAGGTGCAGTGTAGTGCCGTAGTTCCCAGTTCGAGCTGGGCTGGGCTGGTTGTGTGAGTCATGAGTCAGGACATCATCTTACACGAATGTACAGCTGGCTTTTCCCAACATCTCTTCTCCAAGTGGTTGCCACGATACATGCTGCTGAGGCCGAAGATGAACGAACGGGACATGCTAATCTCGCCACATCAATTCGGGTGGCCGGTATACAGGCCCAGGCTCTACACGGCCCTAATCAATCTAGATACGATGGAGGTTGTGGATGGTCAGACTGGCTTTGAAAGAGCCACACAGCATCTCTTTCGCAAGTGCTCGGTGGATGTCTCATCGCTGTACATGGCCCCCCAGGCACCTAACCTGAGTCTTCTCATGTCAGTCTGTCTTTCCATGCCTGCTGCCACACAAACCTTGAAGTTTCCCGCGACTCCGTCGCTTGCTGCAGGAGGAGGTAGATGCTGCTAAGCAGCAAGCCTCCCGAAAGCTTTGCCGGCCGTTGTCGAGTCGCTTTGACGAGTTGTTGGGAGGACAAGCAACTCACCGCTGCACCGTTGCGAGCTGTTCCTATGACTGTAACGACTCCTAACTCCTAACCTATCCCGAAATTTTCTAGCGCAGCGCAGGAGCCAAACTGCGCTGGGCACAAGGATACAGAACTCATTCCAGAGTGACAAAGAACTTTCGTCATGGTGCTCGGCTTGGAGTGAGCTCATTACTTTTGCAGGTTGTTGGCAAGGGTGTGGCGCTCTAGTCACCTGGCTGCTGTCACTGTGTCTTGTGAGTTGAGGTGCTCCCGCCGTTGTGGCCAATCTGGCGCAGAATCCCAACACGAGACCTATTGTTTCTCCCTATTTACCGACTCTTCTACAGTCGGGAATCATGTTCCTGTTTCTGAACCCCTCGTCGGCGGCCAGTGACGGGCCAGGGAGGCCAGAAGAGCGTTGGCTTTTGCCAAAGGAATCTCGGACTATACCTTTAATGCCTTTACTTGGTCTAGCCGTCCTATCATATCCTCTAGCCTAGCCGCTAGATGTCCAACTGTGTTCACTTTCGATCGCCTGTCTAGCCTGTCTCCATTGCATCAGAATCAGGAGGCATTGCATTGCATGGGCCATTGCCAGTACGCGGAGCACACCGGCCGCCATCCGTTCCCAATCGTGGACAGCACCCATTTGACAGAGACTTCTATGCGCCGACTGGCGGGAAACGTGGCCTGGCTTGCGTCGAATTTTACAACGACATGTACTGATAGCCATGGAAGCGGGACATAGATGGGCTAGGCTGGTGGCTAGATGGTTTTATTCTATGTCGTTTCCACACTCCGGTTCGTATGAACTTTCGACTTTGACTTTCATCGCTTTGATGGACAGGCGATGCATATGACTTCCGTGGGGAGCATCTGGGCAGTGCTTCTAGTGTGTTGCCGGCGCAAGACGGACGGCTGAAATGTGCTTTTCTGCATTGCCAGCTCATGAGGTGGGCTGCCGGTGCACTGTAACTGTAAGTCCCTGACATTGGCAGTGAGTCGTGCCTTGTTGTGGTGCCTGTGAAAAATTGCTAGTCGCAGTCTGCCAGTGAGTGCGCTATGGCTATGGCCTACCCCCCATGCAGTGTTGCTGTTGCTTGTCATGTGCCGTTGTCGGCGACCGCGCTGCTAAAGCTGCTGTTGAGGCTCCAAGTTTCAACGTGTTTCAACCCCGGCATTTTGCTAGGGGGAACTCCGTGGCACAAGACCATGCGGGAAGTATCGCCGCAGGGGCGGCTGCAGCCTGCTGCACCGGGATTGGGTGGTCCTCCACACTGCCTGGCAATGGTGACTGCCACCTCAGCGGCCTCGACACCTTCTTCAGTGTGTGCTGTGTGTGGCAGAACCATTGTTTTCAGACCCATCGTGTCACGTGGCTCATCCTGTGTGTGATGTCGTTCATGTTTGTGGTGGAGCTCGTTTGAGAGCGGTGTACCTGGAATCCTGATGATAAGGAAAACACAGCTGTGCACCGACCACGCTCCGTCAAGGACAACTTTCTTGCAGCAGGCTGCCCGCGTTCCGTTCACGGACGCTGATGGCAATGAGGTCCCGGGTGTCACTATGAAGATGCACCTGGAGAAAATGGAACACGAGAGCCCCGATGAGTTCCAGTTTTACTTTCAGGACTTCTGCAAAGAGAGCCGTGGCCAGGGTTTTGTTGGGAGTCATCGTTCCGCAATGCAACCAGCCTAACCGAACCCCAAATTGACTATCCCAGGTGTCCAAATCCCGGTAAAGGGAGACCTCGAAAGCAGTACGACTTCGCTCGTGTGGTGAAGTCGGCCTCTTCTGGGACGAGGTGCTGTCATCTTGTGGCTTCGGAACTTGGGTTGAGTCCGCAGTGTGCTTGCGCCAGGACTGAGAACAGGGGCAAGTTGGTACCCATGACCAAAGACGAGTTTGAGAAGTGGTTCGTTGAGTTGTGTCCACACTACCTCAGTGGAGATCTTAGTTGAAACATGCTATGCGCGCAGGGTGCACCCTGCAATGTCCGAATGTGCGGGGGGGGGGGGGATGCTGCAGTGGTGGTTCACAGGATTGTCAAAGCTGGCGGCCAGATCGAAATGGGCCAAGATGTTCGCGGACCCGCGAAATCCCAGAGACCAAGTCATGAGCAATGACCTGGAAGGCAACGAACTCGGCTATGCCCGCTGGCTGCAACTTCAACAAGATACAGATGATGCAATTACGTCTGTACGATATCATGACCTCATCCCGCTCCAAGGTGTACAGACTTTGGGTCCTTAAGCAGGGCGGCGACGCTGGTGGCGAATCAAAGTGCCACATTGGCTTCGAGGAGTTGTGCCGCCTGAGCTTGCGTGCATGCACGTGCTTGCGTATGTTTGCGTGTTATTGTCTCTGTGTCTCTGTGTGTCGTGTATACGTGTATGCATGTGTGTTGAGTGTTGTGTGTGTGTATGTTTATATTTTGTACGCTCGTGCAGGCAGTCCAAGTCCATGTCCAATGTGATTGCCAATGAGTGTCTGTTTGATTCTATGTTTTTGTCTTTAAGGTATTTTATGTGTATGGTCCGGTTGTTTAGTTATTACTTGTTTGTTTGGTTGATGAGTTGGTTGGTAGTTGGCTGGTTGGTTTGTCTGTTTTCGCTTTGCGACTCGTGACTCGTGTCTTTAGATTGTAAACTCAGATTCAGACTGCACTGACTGCACAGGAGGCGCGCATCTCCATGGAGCTTAGCAGTGAAAGCCGGAACCCCTCGGAGCTGGCGGTCAACAGGATGGTGACGGAAGCTCGAGAGCTACGAGCTGAGTTGGATGATGATGATGGTGTTGCTGGTTCCGAGAGTTTTCTAGCTGGACCGGGTTCTGTCGCACTGCCTCCAATGCTGCAGTACCCGGCTGATGCTCGAGCACCCGTGCTCCCTGATAGCAGCCGACCAAGTGCAGGTGCAGGTAAGGCGAAGGCCAAACCCAAAGCTCGGAGCCAAGCCAAAGCGGAGCGGCCGGGTGTAGTCGCAAGCAGGATTCGCAGAGAAACCATGAAACCATGGACGACTCTTCAGACCTCTATCAAGAATGCATTGGAGTTGGCTCCAGTGATGCTCGAAGAATGCGTTGCAGAGTACGCCTCTGAGGAAGAGGCCATTGCGCAAGATAGTTCCTACGGAGTCGTTCGTGCAAGGCTGGCAGCGCTACGGATGCTGTCGAATCAGAAACGCGAGAGGCCATCGGAAGCTACGAGCAAGCCCTTGTCCGACCTCCTGGCGCAGGACCCCTACTTCAACGAGCAATGTTGGCCTGTGTCTGCCATCCAGACGCTCGGACAGCTCTCACACATGCGAGGGACTGTGTTGGAGCTGCAGGGCACGGCTGCCGCTGTGGCGGCGCTGGGCGAGGAACACAAATGCGCGATTGACGTCCTGAAAACAGTGGCAACTGCGGTGTGCACTGAGGTGACTTCATGGCGTAGCAGCATCAAATCCCTCAAGAAGGCTCGCGAGCTCGAGGAAATTTGCGCTCAGCGCGAGGCTCAGAAGGAGGCGAAGAAGGAGAAGCAAAAGAAGAAGAGCGATGAAGCCAAGGCCGCGAAGGAGTTGGCGAGGAAGGAGAAGGACAACAAAGCAAAGGAAGCGGCAGCAGCGGAAGCGCAAGGTGCTCAGGAGGACGAGGCGGCTCGTGGCGGTGGCGCCCAGTCCAAGAGAAGAAGGAAGCCGGTGCCGGAAGGTCAGATTTCCGATGCAGACCCAGCCTTGTTGCAGGCGCTGGCTGGTTCGGATTGGCCTCTGGATTACATCATGCCCAGTCTCGACACGCCGGAGGAGCTGGCATCGTTCATTGTAAGGACGTGCGGCATGCTTCCGTGCAAGATGAGATTGCGCCGCAGCTCCATCAAGAAAGTTATCGAGGCTTGACACGTGTTGTGATTTCCCTTCTTCGTTTCACCGTTTTGTGTCGAATGTTTGAGAATATATATATATACGAATATATCTAGCTGTATGTGTGTATATATATATATATGTATATCTCCTGATTTTTGGTGCTCTCGATGACTCCACGACTCCACGCCTCCGCGCTTGATTTTTATGATGCTCTGGACTGGATGGTTCAAAGATCGTGTGATCAAGTTTGGCACGGTTGGTATCGGTATCCTGTATGCAAAGTACATGTACGTATGTTTAAATACAGTATGGGTATCCTGGCCTGGGCCTGGGCATAAATATACATGTAGTATGTGTTGGTCCGCACAATATTTGATATGCGCTGTATTATTTAGAGATAAATGAATGCACAATATAGATATCTGCTATGTGCTATGTATACATACATATACATATATGTATGTATTTATATGTGTATGTATATATGTATGGGTGTACACGTGTACACTGAGTACACTGTACACTGTACACATACATGAATCTACATTTCTATGTTTGGTAGTTTGGTTTTAGATTCTCCTTTGGCACTGCTGTGTGTGCCTGTGTACGTACATCGGAGTATCTCGGAATGACGCTCGCCGTTAGGCCGACCCTACTGGCTGTGTTGACAAGCAGATGCACCGAAAGATTGGGCAAGAGATCAATGAGTTCAGTTCGGACTTTGAGGCAAAGTTGAAGGGCAGAGAAGACTTGACAAAGCAGCTCCGTCTGATAGAAGCACCGGCTTCTACGCTGGCCTTGGACGTTCTTGTTTTGCAGAAGGTGGACGATTCCGGCAAACGTGATCTGCAGTTTCTTTCCCGGGAGGATATGGGGGAAAGGCCGGGCGGACAGTGTACTAGTCAGTGTCGAATTGTGAGCAGCGCGTGGTTCAGCATTGCCGGGAATTGCGTTGATCTGTGCAGGTTCTCCGAGTGCGGTGAAGATGACGCCGCAAAAGCGAAGAGCGGGCTCCGCTGGCGCGGCGCAGCACTGACTGCCTCCAAGGTCGGATCCCTTTTCGCTGGGTTTTGTCCTACAGGAATTCCTACGATGTACAACCACGTGCTGAATGACAAGCTTCTCTGCATCGTCGATCTCAGCGAGGCGATCGCTTGGTATTGTCATGTGAAGGAAATCGACTCGGCAGCAGAAGGGTTCGTGCCACCTGCTTTGAAGGACTTGCGATAGTTTCTATAGTATATATATAGGTCATATAATTCATCAGCCTAACTTTGAGCCTTCGCAGTGATGACCAGGACGTCACGAATTTCGTGGCCAACCAATCAATCGACGCAGCTTCCGTGGCTTTGGTGTCCATGTCAGGGACGACGGTGTCCGCAGGCGACGTCGTGTACATCCCTCCCTGTTCGTTGATGGTCGAGAAGAGCATCGGAGCAGGCACCAGTGTCGGAATCAGGTGCCACTGTGCGTTCTTTCATTGCCGCGCTCCCGATCTGTATGCGACATATAGGCAAGTGTACAGTGGGCACCTCGGTTATCTAATACACAGCCTACAATATACTACACACTGCTTAGAACTTAGAGCTTAGCACAGACAGAGGCGTGAACTGCACTTTTCCATAATTTGGAAACCAGCTAGCTAATATCCGTGTGGTGATCCTCTTTGCATTCGGTTAATGTGTCGCCCAACAGCCAAACATCCCAGGGACCTGCCTGCCGAGATCATGCATCGAATGACAAAGAAGTTGCCGTTCGAGAGAATGGTGTCGCTGGGCGAAGCGGCCACAGGCGATCGGGTGCCTGCGCCGGGCACGCCAGGGAGCATGAGCATGTTTAACGCCCCACCAGGCAGCGGCGTAGAGCCAGTGCCCACAGTGGCCCAAGACGGCACAGTGGCTTTGCAGGACCTTCAGCTGCCACAGGATCTTAAGGAGTTGATGGACGAGATGAACAAATTCATTTTCACCATGTCGGATGAAGACCTTCGCGCAGAAGTGCCCGCGTCTCTCCTGGATGTGGCCAGCTTTAACCGTCACATCCAGGCGGTCGTGAATCATAGGTTCTACGAGGACTACCGCAAGTATGTGGTGGTTGAACTCATGGAAGAGGCTCTCCCAGAGACAGATGAAGCTTGGCCGTGGAGCATATTGGACGAGGAAGGCGACCAATTCGAGGATTTGCTAGGCTGGTATGCTTACATGCGGAAGCGTGGTGCCAAGCATGAAGCTGAGGCCAGCCATTGCCAGCCATGAAGCATTTAGTGCCACCGTAGTCCGTAGTCCCACCGTGCGACTATGCTGCGTCAGCTGCAGACAGGACATGGTGGGCATGATGCAAGTGCCATTGGAGGAGACGGAGGAGGGGGAGGGGCCTGTAGCCTGTAGCCTGTTGTGCTGGGGATTAGGAGCGGCCTGTGTTGAGTCTTTGTTTTAGGCATGCCCAGTACGTCCTGCTTGACAGCTCGTGGAAGCTCTGTTTGTAAAACCGTAAAGCGAAACCATGACCTCAAAGGCCTCAGCCTCGAGACTCAAGCCTCAAACATGGGCAATGCGGCAATGCCCTTGCTGCTCCAGGACCACCCAGGTTAAACCTTCATGAACTCAAAACCCGAAACCCCAAAACTACCCAAACGCCCAAAGTAACTAAGCCCTCAACAAGCCTTAACCCGAGACCCCAAACTAAACCCTAACGGTTCCTAATTCTGGCAGGTTCCACCGACTCCGCCGACTCCGATCAACGAGGAACTCAATGAAGAGGCAGAGGCAGAGCTGGTTTCGCAGCCTGAGTTCGAAGGAGCTGTGTTCTCGAAGGACACCGCCCGGTTGCTCATGGGTTCACTGCTCATGTCTTCTCCAAACTGTTCAGGAGCCCATGACTACCCGCTGTGACATGCCATCTCCGACGCAGCCGGCGCGAAGCTTAGCCTGGAACTGTGAACCGAGAGCCGTAAGAACCAAAGTTTAAACAGCAACGCAATGTCAACCCGGCCCCTACCTTCCGGCACAGGAACAATCTCCCGAGCCGCTTGCCGCGATCAGCGATCAGTGCGACGCGGTGCCAAGTGAGGCTCAAAATTACTGAGCAACTCGCGATGTTTCACTCTCGCAAGCGAACTGTTCCCTGTTGCCAGGCACCGGTGCAGCCACCCGAGGACACCACTGGGCGACGCAGGGTCTTCATGTGTTGCTTGTCTGTTGGTGAGGAGCCCCTCCAGATGCCGACACCGCCGGAGACACAGCCGGTGCAATGCTTAGCCCGGCCCGAGACTCAAACTTGGAAGTGCTCCTGACTGTCTAGCAGCTCAGGAATCAGTTCCTGAGCCAACGACGACTCCGACCGCGACCAGCAAGACGTGCGACGAGAAGCATCAAAAGGAGCGGACCTGCGACCTGATTTCACAACTGGCATCGTTTGGCTCTTTGCTGCCAGGCGCCGCTTGTGGCCCCGGGGCCACCTCAGGACGCGAGTCACGGCAGGTCGGTGCTTTGTGTTCAGCTGCGCTCCAAGCTGTTGTTGAGGAGGCTTCGCAGCTGCACGTGCCAGAGAGATTGCAGCCACTGGTGGGGCTGCTCAGCCATAGGGCCCTAAATTTTAGACCCACCCTCACAAACACCAAGACCTCAGACCTGCGCCGCCGGTGCAGGAAGAAGCTGTTGTGTTGCCGACTCCGACCACCGAGAAGTGCGACGAGACACCGTTGCCAGAGACGCAGCTACCGGCGCGGCTCTTCAGACATAGGGCCTTGCATTGTATTGCCAACCCACCCTCAAAACAGGAAACGGCTGTGATGGAGCAGCCGCCTCCGACCGACGAGAAGTGCAACAAGACACCGGTGCCAGCGACGCAGCTGCCGGCGGGGCTCTTCAGCCATAGGGCCTTGCATTAGCATTGTAAACCCACCCTCGAAAGCTTAAGACTTCAAACTTCAGACACCCTGCCAGTACAGGAAACGGCTGTAGAGCAGCCGCTTCCAACTCCGACCGACGAGAAGTGCAACGACAAACTGGTGCCAGAGACGCAGCTGCGGGCGGGGCTCTTCAGCCATAGGGCCTTACATTGTAAACCCACCCCCACATAAACTAAGACTTCAGACCTGCGCCGCCGGTGCAGGAAGAAGCTGTTGAGTTGCCGACTCCGACCACCGAGAAGCGCGACGACAAGCTGGAGATTGCGGTGCCGTTGGTTTAGGTTTAGGGCAGGTTTGTTTGTGGGCGGTTTTGTGTTTTGACATTTGTATCCAGGAGACGATGGTTATGGCGGTGACACCAGTTGCTGAAGGAATCGCCGAGGAGCAGTGTGACGTCATGCTCAACTTATTTCCCTTACAATTCCGTTATGATTTGCAGGAGCCGCTAGGGTTGGAGCCGGGGATGGAGCTGCCCGAATCGGACACGGAGGTTCGGCTCCCATCGGGACTCCCGTCCCAAAGACAGGTTGCAAGAGACTGGCAATTTGTGGCTGCAGGCCGTCAAGCGCTTAACGGCAATGATGGAACACAGTGGTGAAGAGGCTGGAGTCGGAGTTCGTCTTGTCTTCCCTTTCGTGGGCGACTTTTGTCTCAACCTCAACCCCAGCCCAGCCCTGAACCGTACCCTAAAACATCGTGCAGGAAGAGCCGGTACCAGGCGACGATGCGGAGGCCAGGCCAGTACGCTTTGGGTAAATCATTCAATGCACTTTGCAATTTCTTGCCATTTCTCGGAAGGCGGCGGCGGCATCCTCATCCGCTGCAGTCGTGCCAGTGTCGAAGGGTGACAGCAAGAAAGCCAGGGCACCCCAGACAGGGAAGAGAGGAGCAGTGGCCGACAAGAAGCCCAAGACGGAACCGAAGGAAACCGCCGGATTTCAAGTTTAGTTAGGGTTCCAGTTCCGGGTTCACGGTGCAGCTGTTCGGATTCATGACCCCCTGACCCCTGACTGCAGGCGGCTGCAAAGACCAACAACAAGCGCAAGAAGGCTGATGATCCATTCGAGGAAGGCAACATCTCTAAATTCTTGAAGCCTTCGAAACCTTCGAAGCCAAGCAGAGAATCCAAAGCTTCCAAGCGCTAGGCCGCTCGGAAGGCTTGCTTTAATCGCTGCTTGACTGGGAAAGCCACTCGTGATACTAGCGATCACTAGTAGCCTTGTGGGTCTAAGAGAGGGTCCTTTACTAGTCCTTACGCAGAAAGTCGCTGTCACGAACGTGTTGCACAGTGGCCTACCTACCGAAAGCAGCCTACTGTGAAACAGTGGTGCTGACACGCAGACACTGAAGCCTCTGCATAGCAGAGACTACTGACCCGGTCGTGGACCGAAAACGCGAGCGAGAAGAAAAAAAGGCTTCGGAAGTGCGCAAATGCTTGATCGGTGTCTTCTGGAACTTGCAGCCATTGCCAAAACCTTAATTCCAGTAGATTTTTTTTATCCACCTCTAAAAACAGTAATATTGAAATTTCACACTCCCAAGCTGACATGCTTTCCCACTGTGCGACACCTTTGCCTTGGAAGGCGAAGTACGCCCTGTCAGGGTGTGAGTTTTCACCAAGAGTCATGAGGGCGACGATGCCAGGGGATGTGAGTCAACTGAACAGCAAATAAAAGCGGTAGTATGACAGTGGCCACCGTAAGCTCAAACGCAGACACGCGAGCCCGGTCACGGCCACCTGGCAAACTTGCTGAACTGAGAGCGGCACGCGAGAAGAATCTCAGAACAAAGCGGCCTTTTCTGAACACAAGCGGACGGATGCACCTGGTTTGCAGCGGTCCCGGGATGGACCTGAGCCTCGTTCAACGAGACCAGTAGCACTACTTGCGGCCTTTGCGGTAAGACCAGTAGAGTGACCACTCACACGTCAAAGTCAAAGTCTTCAGACGGTACTTTGACTCAACTTTCTCGAAAGTCAAAGTCTTCAGACGGTACTTGGAGTCTCTAAAAGGGGCCTTGAGCGTCTCTCCACTGCAACCAGAGCTTAAATGTAACGGTTTAACAAGCGAGAGCCGATGGCTATACCACAGGCAATGCTTATCTAGGTCTCCTGTGCCACCACATCCGGATAGCAAACAGCGCTACGTACCCGTCAACCGCCCAACTCATCGAGCGGAACACGGATTCAACTGAATTAGAACTGAGTAACACGTCTGCACTGCCAGGTACTTCAGCAGAGAGCTTCGGTGCCGTAGCACCCAGCACCGATTCTACAACTGAAGCGTTCCTCATGTGAAAACTGCGAGCATCCTGTAGGCTAGACAGCTTCATGGCAGGGCTTGGCTCAGTAGAACTGTTTTGACAGCGACTGCAAACACCCTCCCTCCCCACACCCCTGCCCCAAAAAGGAGTTTGCAAACTCGCAAGTCGATTTTTGAAGCTTGAGAAGATGTTCCTACATGACGAAAGTGCTGAAAACAGAGTAAAACGGATGTGTTCGAAAAGCGTATGTAGGAGGGGGGGCGCCTACGACGACGACGACGACGACTACTACTACTACTACTACTACTGCCCATACCCTACTACTACTACTACAACTACTACTACGACGATTACTGCTGCTACTGTTACTGCTAGTACGACTACTACTACTACTACTACTACAACTACTACTACTACGACGATTACTGCTGCTACTGTTACTGCTAGTACGACTACTACTACTACTACTACTACTACTACTACTACTACTACTACTACTACTACTACTACTACTACTACTACTACTACTACTCTACGACTACTACTACTACTACTACTACTACTACTACTACTACGACTACTGCTACTACGACTACTGCTACTACTACTACTACTACTACTACTACTACTACTACTAAACGCCCCCTCCTATCAACCACCTGGCACCTTAACCCATCATCATCATCGTCACACACGAAAATGACAGCCGCAGAAAACGCACGGGCTCAGGCCCCCTATCTGCGACAGCTGCAGAAGTTGCCGAGGTTCACTTGCCTTAACTGTCACAGATGCAAGGGCTCAGGCTCCTTTTTTGTGACAGCTGCAGCAATTGCCGAAGCTCATTTGCCTTAACTGTCACAGCCGGTGAAGTTGCAGAGGCGCAGGCCCCAACACTGCGACAGCAACTGGAGGTGCAGACTCGAGGGCGAAGTTGCCAAACCACAGATGGTCGGATAGCACGAAAACGTTGTCAACACCGTGCAAAACGCAGGTGCTGCCAAGAAGGTTTAAACACTCTTAAAAACTGAAGCGCGCCCATGCCCCGCCCCAACCCCCCCCCGCCCACCAACAAGGATGCTAAAG